CATCACAGGCTTATGTGGACTAAGTTAAACTCGAGAGGACACATTCCCTTATGTCTATGCGGAGAATAAATTCACATGAAGACATAAGGTATATGAATCCCGAAGGCTACTTGCTAGGCCTATGCGGTGAATAAATTCACACGAAGGCGTCGCTTTTACCCCCACTTAAAACAGGGTTTGGAGCTCGGGTATAGAGCCTTAGAGGAAAAACGAGTTTGGAAGGTTGAAATCATTAGAAAACGGTTAGTACAACTATTTACTCGAAAATATAATCAAAGATAAGCAACAAGGATCGTAATGTTACCTTAAAATTCAAACTCACCATTTTCGTTAAAAAGACAACTAGAAATTACCTTAGCCTGACTCACTTACCTGTGTCCCCAGCGGAGTCGCCAAGCTGTCAGAACCGTCTTTCGGTTGGGCCCCGAAATTGGGCTTCGACGTGGATTAAATGAATTGGAGTCGCCACCGATCATTTATTTAGAAATAAATAGGTTGACCATATACCTTATTTCTTATCTGATCTGCGTCTTACCAAAGATGTGTCGGATTCGGGAGTCGGTTACAGTCAAGGAAGGGTTAGCACCCTTGAACTGCCTTTTCGGTACTGTGTAATTTCCAGTTGTCTTTAATTAAGAAAGTTGTAATTTTAAATTGAAAGGTAAAATAACGATCTAAAACTTACCATTGATTGGTTGAAAATGTACCCTTTTTAAAAGTCAAAAGACGAGTTAGAGAAGAAATGAAAATAAAAAAAATAGAAAATGATAAAGAAATAGGGAATTCAACATGAATATAACAAGATAAAGAAAATAAAAAGGAATACAAAACACAAATAGAAATAGAAATAAAATAAAAATTAAAAACATAAAATAACAAATAAAGTAGTAATAATCCATATACACTTAAAATAAATAAATAAATAAAATGAACATCAAGAATATAAAAAAATGAAATAAAAAAATAAAGAAAAAAGTAAAAGAAAAAGGAAAAAAAGCATATATACAATATAATAAAAAATAATCAAATAAGAAATAAAAATATATATATAGTAATAAACGGATAAAAATATTAATAGTATATATTTACATAATAATAAAATATAGTAGATATACAAAATATATATATACAAATATATAGATTAAAAATGATGAAAAAGTAATAATAATGAATAAAAAGAATAAAATGAAAATAAAACATACTTAAATATATATAATAATAAATATACTATTTAAATAAAAAATTAAAAAAATAAAATAAGATGTAAAAAGACCGAATTGAATGAAAAACAAAATTGGGGACCTATTTTAAAAGAAATTAGGGGTGAATTCAATGAAAATGAAGGCCAAATCAAAGATTTAAAAAGCATGAGGGACCAGAAACTGAATTTACCCATTTCAGAATGAAAACACACGGATCCTATATGTCTGGGTCAGGTCCAGGCGCGGGTTGAATGGGTGATATAGGCTTACTATAAAAGCCAAATATTTTTTAAAATTTTCATTTGTTCTCATTTCTTTCCAAAACGTAAACTCTTTCCCTCTCCAATGTTCTTCGAAATGAAGAACACCGGCCAAAATTCCCAGAAACCGACCATTGGCCACCTCGGCGGCCACCGTTGATCGGCCCCGAACCTAGAAAAAAATTGATTTTTTGAAAGCTTTTCCTTTCCTCGTTTAAAATATCCGAGTACTTTTTCAAAACGGCCTCGGGGTCGCGTAGATCTAGCAAAATAGCTTCGAAAGCAACCCCTTGGTCCTTGGCCAAGAATGATTTTTCGGGGTTCAAACTCAAGGAAATATCAACATGCAAAAATGGAAGACGAACGAACGAAGGTAAAAAAAAGATGCTACCTTTTTAATTTCTCTCAAAACTTTTTACAAATGCTTCGATGCCACTATCTATTTTCTTGTATTTTTCTGGTAATTTCGTGAGTAATTCGTGTATATTCTCCCCCTTGTTTGTCAAATACATGGGTATTTATAAATACTAAAGAAACCTATTCCTAGAGTTTGATTCCGAGTAAAACTCGGTTATTTGATGGTCCACGATTCTTACTTGTTGTTTGGTTGGTTGTGAATGAGTCACTTTGACTCACGTTTGTTGAAGGTCGAGAAAACCGGCGGGGAACCCGACTGTTGGAGCAGCGGCATACGACGATGGATCTTCAAAGGGAGAGAACGACGCTGAAGATGGGGCAAACTTGGGTTCTGGAAACCCTAGTCGTTGGGGGTTGCTTGGGTCACTTGTGTTTGGACCATTTGTATTTGGGCACCAATTGGGTCTGAAAAGAAAAAAAGAATGTAAATAAATAAACTATATATAAATGAATATATAATATAATTTATAATATAAATATGTATTATATAATATAATAACGTTTGAATGACGAAATTTAATGTCTTCAATAATAATATAAGATGCAATATATGATATAATATACATAAGTATAAATTAATTAAGTCCGGACGAAAACATATATAGAGATGGCAAACGGGTACAATTTCGTGGATTCCGTACTGTACCCGCTCTAATGGGGAGGGGATGGGTATAACTTCAGTGGGTAGTGGACGGGTGTGGATTTAGAAAGTGGTACACGTCGCTGGTAGTGGGCGGGTGATGGGTTAAAGACCTTGCCCGCCCCACATCTCCGCCCGCCCACTAAATACCCATTAAAATTTGGACAATTATGAAGTTAGGTATAATTTTAGAGACTAATTTATAAATCTTAATATTGTATAAGATATATGTTGTCAGGCGGGTCTAGCCAGGTACGTCTCCAGTTGGGTAGTGGGTGTGGGGATGGGGATGGATTTGAAAATGTACCCGCTTGGGCGGGTGTGGATTTAAAAAATTTTACCCATCATTAGTGGTTGACGGGTGGTGGATTTGAAAATATTAGGTGGGTATGGGGGGAGGAGATATCTGCACCCGACCTGCCCGTTTGTCATCCCTAAACATATGTCTACAATATATATATATATATATATATATAAAAGCATAAATAAGTATACATATACGTAAGTATAAGTATAATGGATTTATAAGTGTAATGTACATTATATATACAAATATTATAACATTCATCGTACATATTATATATACTATTTTATTATTTAAATTATAGTTTGGAATTTCATGTTTAATCAATTTAGTCTTAAAATTATATTATAATATTCAAAACCTTATATTGTTGCTCAACTTTTGAAAGGAATGTTATTCAATCCATTTTTATATTAATTTCATTTTCACATTTTACAATTATTTCGATTTGATCCTTACGTGTTTTTTAATTTATTTAAATATTAATTTGTAATTTTATATTTGTTCAATTTAGTGCTTAAAATTATATTTGTATATGAAATTGGCCGATATCTATTTATAATTTTTATAATTTACTTCAAACTCAATAAATCACATAATAAACTTCATTTCAAACTCTATAAATTATATCATAATCTCCAAACCCTATAAACTTTTGTTCACCAACTTTTTAAATGGATCCAATTTTGTCCATTTTTATATTAATTTCAACTTAACATTTTGTAATTATTTGGATTTGATCCCTCATTCATGGGTGTTGTTTAATTTATTTAAATTTCAATTTGTAATTTCATATTTGTTCAATTTAGGACTTAAAATTATATTTTTATTAAAATTAACTCATACTTATTTATATTTTTTTGTAATTTACTCAAAATCATATACAATTACAAATTACAATTTATCGTTCATGAAAAGTGAAAAATAATTAACCCAAAAATGACCCGACCTAAAGTCAATCCGTACCTGAAAGATCTGATCTGAATTTTGTCTGTCAATGATGTGACCCGATCTGAACGAGATCCGACCTGAAGTTAATCCAAACCTGAATTAACTTAGTATTTAACTGATTTGAACCTGAATCGTTTTGACCTAAACTGACATCAATCCGAATTGAAAATAACCCGATCCGAACCCGAACTTAATCTGATGTCGAATCAATCTGAAAATAACCCGAATTGATTTAACCTGGACCCGACCTGATCTGAATCGAACCATCAAATTGACCTAAAACGACTTACATCTAGTTTTACTCGACCTAACAAGATTCGATTGAAACCTAAACGATTACCTAGTTTCAAATCCATGTCCTTTCCTAGAATGTTGGCAAGTTGTCATCATAAGTTAATGAAACGACTTAAGTGGCACTGAAACGATTTTATTCAAGGAGTTTTCCTTCTTTTTGTCCCCCTTCTATCCAAAAGTTGGTTTTTTCAACTAGGATTGTCTACCTAGCTAGGGTCCTATTGAAATGTTTCTGATTGATAACCACAGGAAGTAGTTATTGGAGGATAGCAAAATTTACCCAACTTTCAACATGTTAGTGTTTACCAACTCCTATAGCTGCTTGTGAATATTCGTCGGTGTTTTTTGTTCATTACCTTATAGATTCTTTTGCTTGATTTTCCTCGTAGGAACAAAGCATCAGTCACACCAAGATTACATGGAAAAAGCTAAAGCACGGACTCAACGACGTTCTTCTTCAAAATAAGTCGCCTTCTTAGATCAAATTCAGGTGTTTCCTTGGGCAACCTTTTAATGGTCGGAATTGGAAGCTCGTGACTTCATTCATGGTAATCTATTTTGTGTCCTAGACGCAGTTGAAAACATTGAATGCTGGCACCCAAGTCAGAAGTTGAACATCAAGATCTCATATAAGGTCCAAAACGGACATATCCGATCGAGGGCACGACACAGCCCATTGGAAACGAGAATACCGAGTCAGCTGGGGTTCACAAGTCCTATGTTCTAACACCAGATACAATCATGCACGAATCTTGGCTTCAGTCTCTTTCCTTCCGCCCTTTTTCACAATGTATGGTGCATTTGTAGGGAAAGATGGAACGGAATTGCAAGAAAAGAAAACTGTTGGTTTTCTAAGTTCTTATATACATTTCAGGGTACATAAAACTGATAACAACAATGATGCCAAAAGTACTTCTTTCTCTTGTTTTAATTTCAATTTTTTTCATAGGGGCATCAGTCTTCTGTGCTTGAAAAACCATAAAAATGCACAAAATATGGTGATCCCAGAAATCCCAGTAATTACGAGGACCCACTTAAATGCACCAGGGTAATCAAACAAAGATATGGGAAAGTTCATACCAAATATCCCTGCTACAACCCCAAAAATAGCAACAACAAAGGTTGCAGTTGTCAATAGCAGTTCAAATTGGATCAGCTGGTTTCGAACATTATCCTGCAACCCAAATTTGTCCTTAGATATAAAAAATGCAATGATTTTTTTGGCAATTTGGCACAATCCAAACATATAAAAAATCATAACATCAAGATGAAGACAGAGAAAGCAGGCCAGATTTTTAGAATATATAGTTGGATTCTAAGTTCTGCAGTCATGTTTTTAAGGTCGTTATAAACTTGGCAAAGATCCAATGCTTTCATCCTATTTATGTTTCCATTAATTTTCAACAAATTAGCTAAGCCAGTCAGAGAATCAAAATATTACTTCAAACCATTTGGATGCAGGGTACCGGTTGGGTAGGTGTGACCACGAAGGCACCGTGCATCCAAACAGAGCTTTAGAGTTTATCTTCTACACTTTAGATTCATGAAAAATAATACTTCAGTAACAAATTTTTCTATCAATGAGGAAAATATCATACCAGCTGAATGTTGATGAAATCTTCAGTGTCATCAATGTACTCTTTCAGCTGAAACAAGAAGAAAATAGTATTATGTCCATCCAAGAAATGGGGAGGCAAAGAGGATATAGATTACAATAAGTGCTCTGCATACCGAAGTCAACTTATTTAGGGTGCTGTCAACGAGCACAAAGTATGCTTCCAGTAACATCTCAAGCTCTTCAATATTTTCTGTAGTGCTCTCTGAACTCCTCACGCTCTCATGGCGGCTCCTTGCAATGCTGAGGCTTTTCTCCAGCCTGCGTAATTTGGGAGGTGAAGAAACAGGAGAAACTGGAGCTGAAGCAGAAAGTCCATCATTCGATCTCAATCCCATCAAAGACTGATCACCATATAATGATGATTCCATCCTGCTCTTCTTCTCAGTAAGATACATTTCCGCCATATCTCCATCATCATCCATTAGCTGCTCTATCTCATCTCTAACCTAAATAAATACCCAGAGAGTGGGGAAGTATCAGAAGATGCAAGGCTGCAATTTACCTGCCAAAGAGAGAGATGCGAATACTTTATACCTTCTGAACTCTTCGAGTCAATGCAACAAGTCTACTCTTCAATCTGCGGACACGCTCCAAGTTTAATGTACTGATCTTTGATGCAAGATCATCCAGTAGTGGATATGCTTCAATTTCCAACTCTGCTGCCTTCAGAACATCAAATGAGTTATCGACTTGCTCAAAAGTAATCAAATGCAACCAACAAAATATACTGATAGTAAAAAGGTGATGATAATTCCTAAAAAACCACTGTCCAACAAGTAGAATATGGGCACGGTTAGAAATATAATAACAGAGTATTTCAATGGATGGAGGAATACAAGTGTTCCGTATAGCTTTAGACACCAGTCGGCGGTAGGTTGGATCTCTAACATGGGTTGAACCGTAGAATTGACTCATATGACTTTTAGCAGCAAGGGTTCCCTACCTTGACACCTTGTTCAACATTAGTTTTCAAATTTGATAGTTCACTTATCAGAGAAAATAAACACATCTTCATCTGATAATTCCACTGTGTCCAACACGATTGCTAAAATCCTTTCTCCTCTTCAAAAATTATAAATACTTGGGAGGGCTTAAAAGAAAAGTGAAAGAAAAAACTAGATATCCTAGAGGACTTTTTTAAAAACAGGTTACAGCAAAACAAACTATGATAAGAGCATAAAAGGATAATGATGAAAAACCCAGCCAAAAGTAAGTAACAATAACAATATAACATGCAACATTTTTCATGACTTTCTGTTATGCGCATTATTTATTTTCCTTAATTTTTGTGTAGCTTAACATCCCCAGCAATCAAAAAGCAAATCTGCACATGACTTTTACAACCAATTGTTTTTTATTAGTATTATTTATTTTTAAATGTCAACAAGAGAAATTTGATACTTAACCACAAAAAGGAAAAAATCTTAATATTATGATTATGAAGAGGGGTGGGAAGATGGGGAGACAGAGAGAAATATGTCGAGTCTACAAATTTTAAATGTATAAAATATTAATCAATTTGAAAAACCTGATACTTGTCCATACTACTCGTGATATTTTATGGTTAAATCTCCAATCCATGACGGAACAAAAAATTTCGGTTCCTCCTTTTTTTCGGCACGATATATTCTCGGGTGAGATTTAGGGTCTACAAGTTCATAATTAGAAATACCATTCGTTTGTCATCCCTCATTTAATTCAAATGCAATAAGACATTTTAGGCTACTTTCACACACCTGTGAATCAAGGAAAGTACAGGCAGCTTCCAAAGCGACTTCAAGAGCCCTAAACTCAAAGGGTAGATAATCAGGGGATGTACTCCCATATACATTGTCAAAACCCCTACTGCTTCTTCTTCTGCTCAACTCAGGACCCTCCGATAGCCAAACCTCACCTACTCCACTTGTTAGTCGCCTTTGTAGCTCCACAACATACTGCAAAACATAGCTATCAAGGGAATTCAAGAGTAGAACCTCGTCGGCAGTGATTATACACCGTATCTGCTCCAAGTTTACAACAATAGCCTTCTCTCGACCAAGGATTGTCGAGGGGTAAACAAACAAAGGATCAAGAAGCCGTAGGTCCCGGGCCGGTAGATCACAACGACGCATCATAGTGAACTTGTCAACCTCAATTACTAGCGAATTCCCAGATGTATCAACACGGATCCAAGATCGAAGTCCTTGGCCACGCTTCTTTAACCCTGATAAATCCATGCCTTGAAAAGGCTGGCGTCCAGAGGCAGATGGCCGAAAAGAAGCATCTCTAATGTCTATAGCTGACTGAGGTTTGGGTGGAAGCAAACGCTCTTTCAGGTCCACCATCACAATATCCTGAAACAAACAACAAAACCAGTTAAACCACAACACTGTATAATCAAGTTCTGTGGGAAACAAAAGTATGAAAAATGGTTTTAGGTCTCAAGAAGCTCACTTTTCCAACAAAAGTCTAAAAGATGCTTAACTTTTTTTATCCTACTATCAAACCCAAGAGACTTTTCACTTCACATCGAATACAATTTCGTATCTAAATTAACCATGTTCATTAATGCATCAGAAACTGCTGATTTCTTTTGGCATCCTGAGATCGAAAATCTATTAAACCATGAATAATTCAGCATAAGATTCGACTGAAACAGTTCAGCATCGGATATAACCTCAAAATTAACCAAGTTCCCTCCATAGCCTTATAATTAAACTGGATAGGATCATAATAAAATAAATAAAACTGAAGAGAAAAATCCATTAAATTCCAACTCAATGTCAAGCATAACAAAGAAACAAATTAAAACAGCAACAAAACAACATATATTTCAAGGAGACTAGCTTACCTCGAATAAACGAAACTGAGATTTAACTCCAAAATAAGCGTGAAGAAGATTTAATCACAGCCCTAAATTAAACAAAGTAATACCAACACAACGACTACGAAAATTAATTGGATTAGCGAATTAAATTGTTACAATACACAGAAAATTGAGAGGAGGAAAAACGAAACCGCTAGATTTGGAGAAGTACCTTGGCAACAGCGCGTGAACTAATTTAAAAAAAATTGATGAAAGGCGGTGTAATTTTCACTCAATTAGCTGCTAAGGCCTGAATCTTAACTAAGAATCTAGGATTGCAAGTTTAGATTTTAAGAAACCAAAAATGAATTTTCCCGATGCCCAGGGTGTTTTGGTTGGTTTCGTGGCGGTGAGTTTGTGGCTGGGCAACTTTTTTTTTTTACTATCATTTATTAGCATTTGTTTTTAGGGTAAAGTACGATCCCAGGACTGTTTTTGTTGAGCTTAATATTAAAAATTATAAAATAGTCTCTATTTAAAAGATATTGTTTTGTTGTTTCCTATTATTAAAAGTTATAAAATGATCATTTAATTATTTATATATTTTTAATAAGTCTTTTTTTATTAAAAAAATTAATGACAGTCCTGTCATAACCATTTTTTTATAAAATAATTATTTATTATTTTAAAAAATGATTATGACTTTTATTTTAGAAAATTGGTAATTTTGGATTAATTGGAATTAAATATGATAGTGAGTTGTCATCGACCTTTGGTCTAAATAGGTCGAATACCTAAAAACGTTTTTTAAAATAATTTTTAAGGAAAAATCATTTTTTAAGACAAAAGTTGGTCTGCGTTTACCAAAAACTTGATTTAAAGGATCTGAAAGTCGGTTATGTGTGGTGAAGGGTTAACACCCCATAACGCCCAAAATTAGTACTGTATCGCTTACACATTGTCGTAAATGGTGAAAATCATAAATCAAATATAAAATTAAATTATGATCTATTTATTAAAATTTAATTAATTTGTTTTGAATTAATTAATTAAAGAAAATTCTTTAATTTGAAAAAAATCTCGAGATTAGCAATCATCCGTCGAGAAAGCTATATCGACTATTTCTTGTCCGTAAAGAATATTCCATATTCGATAAAACGTAAATCGAATATAAATTGAAAATTGACATTTGCCTAAAATGATAAATTAATAAAAACACATTGAATCATTCACATAAAATTATTTAAATAATAAAATAAACTAGATTTATTTCGAGTCTCATTTCGTTCAAACGTCGTATCGGATTGTACCACTTTAATCAAGTAATACTTTTCACGCATGTTCTACAAATCAGTGTTTTTGAAAATATTTGAATAAATAAAATATTGACAACTAGATATTTTACCAATTAAAATAAATCAAATTGAATAAAATGGAATAAACATTAGTAATATATTTATATATATAAATATACAAGGGTAAAAAACAAATTTAATAAATATGTATACGAGTATATAATATAGCATGTGTATGATGAAATAAAATAAAAATAAATTAGTACATGCACCAATATATTTAAAACGTAATATGTACATGAATATTATAACATGGGTTAAAATGTAAACATGCAAACATGGCATACCATAACGTAAATAACATAAAATGAATAAGCTTTATAAATAAGTGACTTAACTGCATAAATTGAGAATACAATATCCACATCGTAAAATAAAGAAACAGAATCAATCAGTGACTATAATGAAAAAAGAATAAAAATCAGTGGCCGATTTAAAAATAAACAAAACAGCACGCATGGTGACCAAATTGAAAAAAATGAAACAGAATGTCAATATCACAATAAACAAAGAACATGAGCCTCCTGGTGACTATAATGTAAAAACATGATAAAGACCTTGTACCTAAATCGTAATTCACCCATAAGTCTAGTGGCTAAAATGAAAGTTAATAAAAATGCATAACTAAATTGAAAATTAACAAAGATACATCAATAACCAAATAGGGACAACAATGAACTAAAACGGTATTAAGTAGTTCGAAATAAAATAAATTAATTTTTCATTCGTAACTAAAATATAAGGTTTACCAAGCGAGGGGATCAAGCACACAATTATCCCTAAAAAACAGAACAAGCAGGCTAACGATGTCGTTTTGCATGTTCATATAAGCCTGAAATCAGGCTAAAAATAACATCCAACCCTCATTTGCTTCACACCTTCATTTGAGAGAGAGAGAGAGTCAAAGAGAAAATCCCAGAGCTTCAAGAGTTCCCCAGAAATCGGTAGAACTCCGCCGTGTCGGCCGCCATTGATCGACGGCCACCGCTGTACGCCGGCGTCGGAATAGAGGAAAAAAAGTAAGATCGAAAGTGTTTCCTCACTCTAGTTACGGCTTCAAACCTCCCCCGGTGAGATTCTTTTCCTCTAGTTTTCTTTCTTTTTTCCTTTCGAATCTCTTCCGAATCTCTCTCTATTTTTTCTCTCGGTTTCTTTCTCTGGTTTTTCCCTGAATCCCTAATATTTTTCTCTCTACTCTTTATTTTTTTCGGCTTCCCCTCCATTGGTTATCTCTCATCTTATTTTTAATCCCATTGCATGCTTTCTTTTCGGGTAGATATGATAATCTCAACATAGGGGGATGATTTCCTTAGGCCTAGGTTCTACAAAATCTTGGATTTGTTGAGATATTCTTACTTCTTTTCCACTTAGTAACTGTTTGATGGATTTTTGGCTGAAACCGATCATTGCTGATGATAACATTGGGCGGTGAATGTTTGGCGGCCGGCTCACGCGCGCGGGGAGAGAGGTGATGAAGTCTACGCGCCGACTCTGGCTTCGATTGCTGGAGGTGGCTGGCTTCAACTGATAGTATTTAGTTTTAAAACCCTAATTATACTGGGTCAATTCAGGTCCCGGGTCGGATCCAATGGGTCGATGAGTGGTCTGGGTTGGGTGCTTGTTGGGCTGCTAGGTGGTTGAGTGATTAGGCCTGGAGTGTTGTTGTTTGGGCTTGTAATATTTTGGTCCTCGATTGGCCTACAAAAAGTGTTATTGTATAATTGTTAAAATAATAATAATAATAAATTAATAATGTTTTTTTAGACCCGAACAAAAACGGGTATCTATAAGTCCGAGGTAGACGTTAACATGTTGGTTGAGATATGATAACCTTTTGAGATTCTAGGATCAAATTTTATCATATGTCCTAGTCTACTAATTAGCAACTAGTTCAGACTATCGCTAATTGTTTAACAAAAAAGTATTAGTTTGGAACATATGAATAGGCGATAACCATTTTATAAATTTTAATTGTCGAGACTCGACAAAACAACACATATGTTGAGATTTTGTAGGCGATAACCATTGGTTTAAAGTTCATTCATTTAATAATATCTATTCAACAATTCTCTTCAAGAAAAGATTAAATCCTTTCATGAAAAGGTTAAGCACTTTTCATCAAAAGGACAAGTCTTTTAATTGAAATATTAAGTCCTTTCATCGAAAGGTCTTAACTCTTCAATCCATCTCCTCTTCTATATATAGGTTACTTGAGGCACAATTATAAGATATGACACAAAACAAGTTATAAGTTACACAAGTTTAGAACTTTGGAATAGGGGTGTTCAAATTTTCGATTAATTCGGTCGGCCACCGAATTAGTTTGGTCGGTTAACAGTTAAAAAAAATTTTAGGATTCGGTTAACGGTTAATTCGGTTCGAAATCAGTTAATTAATCGAATTAAATTTTAAATATATTATATATAGCATATGGGCTCAGCCCAAACCATTCAAAACTCAATTAATAATTTAAGATACAATAAATTTAAACTTAAATCAATACTAATTAATTAAAAAATTTATATAATTTTTTTATTTTATAGCTATATATTATTTAAATTAATTGTAAACTTTTTTTTTAATAAAAAAATATTATATATATTATATATAACATATGACTTTTAAACCTAAATCAATATTAATTAATTAAAAAATTTATATAAAATTTTTATTTTATAATTATATATTATTTAAATTAATTAGAAACTGTTTTTTTGAATTAAAAAATATTTAATTTTTATATAAATTAGAAAATTTTAAAATATTTCGGTTAATTCGAAAATTAATTGAATTAACCGAAATTTATTCGGTTCGGTTAATATTTTCGAAAAAAAATTTGGTTGGGTTAACGGTTAAAGAAAAAAAAAGTTCGGTTAATGGTAATCCGGTTCGATCGGCCACCGAATTAACTGAATGAACAAACCTACTTTGGAATAGGAAAAACACTTAGAAAATTCCTTCCAAATTCATTCTTTCCGGTGATAGAGAAAGATAATATTGTGTTCGACTGATCACTACGATTGTGTTTACTGTTGTGATCAGTAATCGTTTGTTGTTGTATCCTGAGAGACCCACGTCCAACGTTACTCAAAGCACCGAGGAGATGACGAAACTATCTTAAGGAAATTGTTCATACATGCCTCAACAAAAATCCTTCTTCGATTTATATTACTCTGCTCATCCTATTCAGTGT